CACAGTACAGTGAACCAATATTTAATAATATATGCGAGTGCTGAGCATTGTAGCCATACAAATACGGCTCTGGCGAGACATACAGGAGAGAGAGCAGCGCATCATTCCTGTTAAGAAATTAGCATCTATCGAAGGAAAGTAAAACATATAGCGAACCTAAGAAATACATGTAAGTGTACAACGTGCTTGTCGCTTGTGTGTGTTCATGTGGCTATGTGTATATGCGTGTGTTGTTTGAGCGTGTATACATGTTGTGTTTGTACGTGTCGCATGTAAAAGAACTTATTTTGGTATATTTTTTTTTTTTGTTCAAAAAATGTTTTAATTGGGTAAAAATATATATATATATTTTTTTTTKTTTTTTTTTTTTTTTTTTTTTTTTCTTAAAATGCAATCTTTATAAAACCATTATGCAAGAAAGCACAATTTTAAACTACGATATTTCCTCGTGGGATGAAGTTCGTGTTTACCTGCAGTAGGTTGCAACATGATGGCAGAGAGCAGCTCCTTGCAGTTACCACCCCCTGCAGTGGGACACAAACTTATCTATATACCATAGATCTCGTAGTATGTATTCATGCAGAGAGACTAACCTTCTACTATTTTATCGTGAACTACATCGCGCGCACACACACACACAATCGTCTTTTCGACAGGTTGTTCCTTCGAAAGGTTAATCGAAGGAAGGTGAGAAAATAGAGTGAATACGTGTGAGAAAAAGAATGTAGGATAATAGTAATAAGAGCAAGAGTGAGGGTGAGTTTTTTAAAGTGAGAAGAAAAAGAATATAGAAAAGGGGAAATATAATTAGGAGAGTTATATCTTTTTTTTTTTTTTTTTTTAATTTTGTTAAAACTTAAGGTGACGGACGATATAAATATGTTTAATAAGAAAAAAAGAAAAAAAAAAAAACAAATTATCCATTTTATATTGGCAGCGTGCTTGAAAGATGCAATATAACTATTTACTAGTGTGGCGCTTCCCCCTCTTGCTCTCTCTATGTCAAGATCATTTTTGTGCAATGAGAAGAATTTAAAAAGTCTTAGGATCGAGTAAATCAAATTATTTAATTTATTTTTAATTTCAATAATATTAATCAATTTTTATTTCAAAATTAAAGTTATTGATAAGCATTTTTTTTTTTTTTTTGAGGGGAAATTTTTATTAAGATATAAGTAATATTAATAAAACTTTTTGATTTTTCAAAATAAACTTTTGATAAATATCCCCAAGATGGGAGCTCTCTTGTAGACACAACGACGTGTTTAGATCCGATATTATGGCTAAAGAATCTGAGCATACCTGCGTATAGGGCTGGAAATGGCAAGTGGCGTAGGTACTCCGATAACTTTAATACGTTGTTGCATTGTTGGACTAGCACCTCCTTGACCTTGATTTCGTTGAGGAGCAGTAGCAGGAGAACCACTTACTTCCGGTGATAATGGGTCTGGTGTATGACTACGTGATCCATTCATCCCCCTATCGAAAAAATTAGACAAATTATAATAAATGTATTAAACCTTTCTGTAGAGCCTCAGTTTTCATTTATTATCTTTTCTTCTTATTATTATTATTACCTTGGCTTTGGATGAGGACTGCCTCTAGGATAATGAATTGGATGACGATGTTGTGGTGGTTGAGGATGCCTAGGAGATTCATTACTTTCGACGGGTGGCAAAAAGAAATTGCTTTTAGAACCATGTCTTTGCAATGGAGGCGTGGGCTCGCAATCTGCTGATTGAGATGCAGTTGGTTCCATATCTGTATCGGAACCATCACGACCAGGGGATAACTATAAATGATAATTACAATATAGATTTTAGATAATGCGTTTAAATGATTAACAATATTATAATATTATAATATTCATGACAATAATCATACATAGTAAATATTCTGCAGGCAGAGGCATTAGTTAGGATGGGCAGGAATAGATATACAAATAAAATCAACACCTTTCTGCTATTCTGAATTGGAAATTGGTAATGGAAAAGGAATCTTCACTTGTGCTTGTAGTACTCTAAGGACATAAATTACAAGATTAGATGAAATTTTGATAATGAATGTTTCTTTTTTGTTTCAAATATGGAAGAGAACTCACAGCTAAGCATTTGTTGTTTTATAATGAAATATAACATTACGGATAAACATATGCAATGGTAGTTAGATTAATAACCAAGCTTATTAAGCTAAACTTATACAAGTTCAATTACAAACATTTGTAAAAAGAGGAGATGTAGTGGAGTCTAATGTAAATTAAGGAAATTTTCCAACTTGTGTAACGTGTATCACATCTACAGTGTAAAATAAAGCAGCACATCGCACAATAGAACAGCATTAAAAAAAGCATGCCAAGGAAAAGAGAACATTTTGCCTTTTAATAAGTTTTTTCTTTCTGTACAGAAGCGAGAGAAATTTGAATTTCTTTTCTTTTTTTTTTTTGTTCAGCATTGTTGCACTAGCTCTTACCTTATTGTAAGCATTTGAACTGGCATTTCTAACACCATTGCTGCTATCCATGTAGGTTTTTACCTGGTTCTCACTGTCTATGGTTGATATCTCAGATGTACACGCGCCTCGTCGCTTTCCTGAATATTTATCAGGCTTAATTAAACTGTAAAAATAAATAAATAAATAAATAAATAAATTTTGTTTAAAGAACAAACAAAACAAAATATATATATATTTACTTAATACATAATAGTATTTAATTGACAGTATAATATATTACCTTGGGTATTGTGGTCCAAATTGCGTATACCAACAATTTTGTAAACATCCTTTCGAGAAAGGATTGTAACCTCCATTGAACTTGCCTGTTACTTGTTCATTAGTTGTTCGTCCTCTAGAAACAAGTATTATGTGAAAGCCTGTTAATCCAAAAATTGGGAGAAACAGTAATATTATCACACCCATAAGCACAAGCCTATGTTTACGATTAAGGAATATATTAATAATACTTGAAAAAATAAATCTTTCAAGAATTAATTATTATTTGTATCGTTTAAAGGATACGAAATAATTGCGTCAACGTCTCCCAATTGCTTTTGATGTTCCAATATGAAATAAAGACAAAGTCCGAATATACTAATCATATGAAGACTAAGGGACAAAAGGAAGAAGAAAAAAAATCTGTAATTTCTTCTGCCAATGCAATTGTTGACCCACGGGCAGTGATGATCGAATGTCTGTAAATGTAACAAATATATTTATATGCAAGATATCTCAGGATTCATCGATCAAATTGCGAGAGTATAATTTACAAGATTACTGCTCGCAGTTTGGGCGATAAATTTTAGGACACTTTATATATTCATGTATAAAAAATAAAATCTTACTTCGATGCAATGGTTGCAAACACTACAATGAGAACAACGAGGTGGTCTATAAAATTTGCATGTAACACACCATTTCATACGCACAGTAATACCATTGATCTCAACATTCTTATATAATGGAGCTCTAAAATCATCCTCCCTGTCTTCGTCAGGAGGTGCTTAAAAGGAAACATATCGTTAAGTTAAAAATTTATTACAAATACATACGTATCTATAAATTGACTAGTAAGTATCAATGACTCACCATTAAGAATATCAACATACCTTTTGGTATAACACCTGGATCCATAAACGTGGCCAGTGTAAAATTGGTCAGTACAAAGAAAGAGATAACTCCTTGAAAAGCTGGCACCAGGGAACCCCATCGGAGGACATAATATCGACACCTGTTTTGTATGATCAATACCAACATAAATGTATAATTTGTAAATAACAATAAACGTGATCGTCAACGATAACATATATTTTTCAAGAATTTATAGAAAGTAAATAAAAGTAAAAACCGTATATGTAATGATCCGACGAATGACACTCTAGGGATAAACTTGAACACATTACTCACGGGAAACAATAAAAAAGTGTCGTAGCTCCTAATAGAACCGTCCAAGCGAACATTGCTGGTACATATTTTGTTTTCACATCGCATTTCGGCATTCTGCACAATCCAACTTCTAGGTTCACAATAGAAGAATTAATAATGGGCAAGATTTCTGCTACCAGGAAACATGGCCGCGTCCATCGGTGCTACTTGTTTGTAAGTTGCAAGATCTATGATTTACGAGGACTCCCATTTTTTCTCACTTTAGTCATTCGTGATAAGTTCTTAATTACACCTTCCATCACATGAATGTTACTCCGGCAAAAACATTCGTAACGTAATTAATATTTAGTCGCTTATGCTTACAACAATCGTGAACACACCACCTAACTCTCTGTGACATATATATATGTATATGTATACGTATATGTATAACTAGATGTATATAGGACTTATATATATAACGTGAATAGAGAGAATTTTTTCTTCCATTCCATCGCTCTGATTGGTGTGTTCGATAATTCGACGAATCTTATCTTTTAATTATTTCTAACCAAACTTTTCTATTTTTCATGAAAATATTATTTAATCATTAATAATTATTCTTAAAAAATAATTATTTTCAATTATTTTGCAGTTATATTAATTAAATATATAAAAAATTTCATTGGTTTTGAAATCAATTAATCAGTAAAAAATTATAAAATAAAATATAAATATGCGTATTAATGATTTATACGATTGTTATTATTGAATTAATACCATCTTTGTAAATAAATGGTTAAAAAGTTATTGTTTTAATTATTTTGAATCAAACTTGCAATCATGCTATTTCGATTGCAGTCAATAAAAACGAGGCTTTATTTATATAGTAGCCTATCATAGAGCATTTTTATATGTCATTTTCATTTCAACCAATCAGAGCGAAGACATTTTATCTTTACCCAATCATATGTTTGTGCACAATGTATAAGGCTTAATACTATAAAACAATTATTATTAATTTCCGTATATATATATATAATATTTGTATTAAAATCGAATTAATTTCATTTAATGGTAACTTAATCTGAAATATTACAAATAAAAATATATTTTATTTATTTGTAAAATTGTATTAATCGTATTTTAACGAAAGACACATGGACGCGGCCTTGATTGAACGCCGCCATTCACCATTGTTGGCAGGAAGAGAGAGAATGAACTATACACCTTAGCAAGAAGAAGTATTCCTTGGATCTTAAATTAATCAGAGGACGTTAACGAATATTATAATGTAAGTAAAGTTTCGATTAATATGTTTTTTCCTACGATTGCATTTAAAATCATTGAAAATATATAACCTCTATATACTGTATGTATATGTATATACGTATATACGCCATTTGCCGCTTTATGTATAGGGCTAGAAGCCGAAAGGATAGTACAGGTAAAAGCGATTCTGAGGCTACAGATAAGGAAAGTAAAAGAGAGAGGGGTAGAGAAAAGGAAAGAAAGAAACGTGCTGCATCTTCTTCCAGCAGTGGTAGCAGGTATATTTTATCATTTTAATTATTCTATGTTAAGCCTCAAAACATGTAATTATGTTGATACGTATGACCTCGCAGTTCATCGGACAGTAGCTCAGGGTCATCTAGTTCTAGCAGTGGCAGTAGTTCAAGATCCAGTTCATCTTCGAGTACCTCGTCTAGTACTTCTGGAAGCTCGTCTGGAAGCTCCAGAGATAGAGGCCGCAAAAGAAGTCGCAGCAAGAGCGTTGATGCATCCAGACGACATGATAATAAAGAAAAAGAAAGGGAGAAGGATAGAGACAGGGAAAGGGAAAGGGACAGAGATCGAGATAGAGAAAGGGACAGAGATAAGGATAAAAAGAAAAGCAGTAATTCTGTTGTTGATAAACCAAAACCCAAAGGACGCTCCAGGTTATTATATTAATAATCTCTTATATACATTTCATTTCTTTATCGAAGAGTAATGATATTAGTATATCATATGTTACGCATTTATTTATTTCTATTTCTTGTTTAATTTATAGGTCTCCTTCTCCACGACGCAAACGTAGAGAACGCTCACCCATTCCAAGGCCAACAAAGATACATATTGGTCACTTGACCCGAAATGTTACAAAAGAACACATAATGGAAATATTTTCAGCTTATGGTCAAATCAAAATGGTTGACTTCTCAATGGATAAGCTTCACCCTAATCAAGGGCGTGGATTTGCATATGTCGAATTTGAAACAGCCGATGAAGCTGAAAATGCTATGAAACATATGGATGGTGGTAAGATAAACGCTAATGCATTACAAATATTATAAAATAATTGATTCGTTCTCAAATATTAATCGCGAATAATTATTAATTTTAAAGGACAAATCGATGGTCAAGAAATAACAGCTGCACCAGTATTGTTACCAAAACCAAGACCAATACCAATGCGCAGAATGTCACCAGTAATGGGAAGACGTGTACCATTACGATGGGGAGGTGGTAGAAATACTCCTCCACGTTATCGTAGACGTTCGCCGCCGATGAATCGACGCAGAAGTCCTCGCCCACCAAGACGTAGACCCAGAAGTCGTTCTCGAAGTCCACAAAATAATCCACGACATCGACATCGTCGATACACAAGATCCAGTTCGAGCAGTTCTCGATAACGCTTTTCTTGTATATATTAATGTTACGAACTGAATTTTCATCAAAAATGAATTCATCTGATTGGTCGTCTTGGTGTAACGGAAATAAGAAAAAGAAAAAAAAAAAAACATAGATATGCGTAAAAAAACAACAAAAAAAAAGTAAAAATAAATAAATAAGAAACAATAATAAATAAATTGAACGTCTGAAGGTGATTTGTGTTTGCAGAATACTTCTCGAAATATCTGCATTTACAATCATTGATTTTGCACGTTACGAAAATCTTAATAATAATAATAATAATAATATTAATAATAATGATAATGATATAATGATGATTGAACGTTTTATCAGTCACCATGTGTCGTATTGCGTTACTTTTAGAAATATATTGATTTCTCACATGGTTTATGTATTAAAGCACTTCATTGGTATCTGCGAATTATACTCCGGTGAAATTATTTTATGGAAGTTTCTGCAAAAATAATGTAAGAACTTATTCTTATCGTGATGAGTATATTATCTTAACCAATATCACAATATGTAAAATAATATATAATATCTTCTGGAAGAGCTTATCGGAAAATTGCAGAGATTAGAAATGTAAAAGAAGCCACAGTAAGACCGTTGATGCATCCAGATAACAATATATATATATATATATTTTACATATTATCAATGAAAAAAAATACCCTGGTGCCGATGGTAGTGCTCTCATATTTTGTTTGTTACTTTTCTGATTCTTCTCACGTTATATTTAGCAAATATATATATATATATATATATAGAAAGCATAAAATCAGTGTACATCCGATCGTGAAGCATGAAGATGAATATTTTATAAACGACTATAAAGAAAAAGAAAAGAAACAAAAAAATCATAGTAATAATAATAATAATAATAATAATAATAATAATAACAAAATTGTTAACTAAATTAAAAAATATAAGTGTATGATATTATTTATACAATTAATTTCAATTTTTCTCGTACAAATATTTGAATACTTTTTAATATCTAATGGTATGCATAAATTAGTTTGTTTGGTTTCTTTTTTTTTTTTTCTAATGGATGTATTTTCAAAAAGAACGTAGCTTATTATGAATAAGAATAAGATTATAAATTTTCTAACGGTTGTTGTTGTTGTTGTTACTATGTCTGTCCGTCTTTAAGCGTATATTTTTGTCCACAGCAACTTTTTAACGTACGCTTCGTATACGATCAAAACTTATTAACTTCAATGGAACATTTAATTGGTGTAATAGCACACTTTATATTAAAATTTATTTAACGCGCTATCTCCCGTACTGTGAATTTTATTGGAAAATATTTGAAGAAAATTGGCTCGACATTTATTATTGCAAGTAAAAGAATAGAAAAAAAAAAAAATATATTTAATTAAAGCGAGAGAAATTGTGATTTTTCAATAAATGTTTCTTTTTTATAAACATTATTTCCATAGCGGGGTTATTATAACTACTTATATATTTCTTTTTTTGAAATAAAACTTCTTTCGGTGGAAGGATACCAAAAATTTTTAAACGACGCGACAATTGAAATGTTTCAAAGTGTTGAAAGGATTATGTTAATTTGAATGATAAATAGAAACAGGCAAGACTTGTGAAAGTCGGTAGGGAAAATTTAACAAAAGTTTAAACTTCAGTCCCATAAGGATACCATCATCACCACCACGCGCTTTTCATTTATGTTTTTCATTTGAATTGTTTGTTTTTTCCGTATCAGATACGCGCGTTATTTGAATATTTATCAATCGCACGAGAAAAAGAAATAAATGTTAATTGATATATGTATACTTCAGGATTGCAAATGATGATCGATGATATTGATAATGATGACGATAATGATAATGAGATAATGATGACACTGAAAGGATACACAGCTTTGATAGAAACTATGATTATTGAGACCCTTTTACAAAGAATCGATTTTAGAAAAAACCTATTATTCACATAAAAATCGTTTACTTTACGATACTTCTTTTTTTTTTTTCATTTTTTTCTTGTTTACCCCCTTTTTCAATATACTTCGTGGATATCTACAAGAGAACGGAAACTCGTTATATTTGCATTTCGCATTTGTTGCGACACTTGCATCGATGTAAAATTATCTACATATTTTAATATTAATCCATTGTTTTTTTTCTTTCCTTCTTACGTTCTTATATGATGGTCATTTATATTATTATATAATGTACACTTTTATATACGTGGGGAAACTTTACAGTAGAAACGAAGTGCCCTTTGTTTATCTCTTTTTTTTTTTCTTTTTTTATTCGATACTAGTAATGTGTGTTTACGAAAAAAGGTAAAAAATGTTTTTTTTTTTTTTTTATACTCGCATTCTATTTCTTTTTTTCTTTTCTTTAGAAGAACCGGTGTGTGCGTGTTGTTGTTGTGTATATGTGTGTTTGTATCAATTGATATACCCACAAATAATTTTAAAACATAAAAATAAATATATATATATATATATATATATATAAACACGTTTGCTATCACTCTAAAGAGAATAAATTTTAATTGAAGCTTAGAAAATTATTTATAATAATAAATATATGATGATCCTAGGCTTGCAATGGAAATTGATGCATTACAGATATGCAACAGGACATGTAACGTACATGTTCATACATTTATAAATATATTTACTTTATTTTTATATGTTTCAAAACGTTTTGAGGATTATTAATAAGAAAAAACAAAAAAACAAAAAAGAAAAAGAATAAGAAAGAAAATGATCAGATGGGGAAGGGAAAGGTCTGATATTTTGTAAATGTTTTTTTTCCCTCTGTATATCTATGGTATGTACGTATGTATGTATGTATGCGTGTAAGTTAAAAGAAAAAATTTTAATAAAAATAAATACGTGATATATATAATGAAAAATTAAATGAACAGATTAAAATAATATTAATAGAGATCACCAGTTTTCCTATAGAAAGGAAATTACAACGTCGTAATCGTGTTTTTTAACGATGATTAATTAACTTAAAATAAAAGAAATAAGAAAAAAAGAAATGAAAAGAAAAGAAAAAGAAAAAAAATAGTATAAGCTATTTGGAGATCCGTGAGTGATCATAAAAAGAAATTATTATTTTTGCGCTTTTATATAAAGCACTTTGGCACGGATAAATTATGATATAAGTTTCACACAGATCTCAAAAAAAAAAATGGATGTGAATTTGACATTCGATAGAAATTTTAAAAAAATCCTGTGATATTTCCTATTTTAATCATTTTCTAATTTTCCTTTTTTTCTTTTCATTCTCGTTGCTTATTTTCTTCTTTTCTTTCTTTCTTTCTTTCTTTTACTCGTTTTGTCATATATGGTCGCATTAATATCGTACATGAGATTTTCATGATATTTTCCTTTTATTATTATTATTATATATTTTT